GTTCATCTTCATATATCATCCATGTGAAATAAACATACTGTAGCCAGTTTGGTCTCCTGTGCCATGTTAGGTAGTGCATGAACTTCCTTAATGCAGTGTTGTAAACTCTCTCAACCTTAAGTCTTGCAATATTTGACATTTTTCTTAAAGCTTCACCTCCTGGAGACAGGTAATTTTGTGAGAATCTCAGCTTTCATTTTTAAGCAAAAATAAATTTTTAGCCTTTGTGGCCGTGGAACTTGAAAATGTGAGCCCAAGTAGCTCTGAAAGCTAAAGGCAAATTAAAAATACCCTAAATTTATTATCTCATTATATTTAGGGGCCTGACTTGTGATTTTTGAATATCTGAGGTTAGCAGTATTGAAAATATAATGTGGGGCTAAATACCCTGATAGAATTCAGTGTTCCTTGAAATACTGTAACATTACATACAGCATCATACTTTATTTTAAAGTTTCATTTTAATTGTGACTTAAAATGGTCATCTTATCATAGCATCATAGAACCATAATGTTAGAAGGGATTGCAAGGGTCATCTAATCTAACTCCTTGCCAAGATGCAGTATTCGTTGTGTCTCAACCATCCAAGACAGATGGCTATTCAGCCCCTCTGTGAAAAATGAAGAAGCTTCCACAACCTCCCAGTGCAGTCTGTTCCATTGTCCTACTGTTCTTACAGTTAGATTAAATCTCAGGAAATGTTTCCTAAATCTGCTATGCTGTGGTTTGAACCCATTGTCTCTTGTCCTGCCTCTGTGGCAAAAGAGAACAACTTTTCTCCATCTTTTTTACGACAGCCTTTGAAGTAGCTGTAGACGGCTATCATGTAGCTCCTTAATCTTCTCTTTTCCAAACTAAACATGCTCAGTTCCTTCAGCCTTTGCTCATATGGCTTGCATTCCATCCCTTTGAATTTTGATCATCTTTGTTGCTTGCCTCTGGATCCTTTCCAGTTTCTGTACATCATTTCTATACACTGGTGACCAAAACTGGACATAGAACTCCAGCTGAGACCTAACCAGCGCCGAGTAGAGTGGTACTATCACCTCCCGTGACTTGCATGCTATGCCTCTGTTAATGCAATCTAAAATTGCATTTGCTTTTTTTGCAACAGCATTGCATTGCTAACTCATGTTGAAGTTGTGATCCACCACAACTACCGGGTCCTTTTCAGCAGTGCTGCTGCCAAGCCAGTTTTCCCCCATTCTGTATTTGTGCATTTGGTTTTTCTTCCCTAAGTGTAGTACTCTGTTTGTCCTTGTTGAATTTCATTTTGTTGTCTGTAGTCCAGTTCTCCAATTTATCAAGATCCCTCTGAAATTTAGCACTATCCCGCAAAATATAGGTAACCTCCCCTAGCTTTGTGTCATCTGCAAAACTTGATCAGTATGCTTGCTATACCTACATCCAGGTCTCATAAAGATGTTAAACAACACCAGACCCGGAACAGGTCCCTGTGGAACCCCACCTGAGACCTCCTTCCAGTCCAACATAATTCCATTAATAGTAGCTCTTTGTTTGCGGTTGTTAAACCAATTATGTATCCACTTATTGGCAGGGTGCTGGAACAATTTTTATAGGGGCGGGGTGCTGAGAGACGTTGAACCAAACCATATACTCTGTATATGATGGGAACCACTTCAAGCCACGGGGTGCAACAGCACCCACCACACCACTAGTTCCAGCACCTATGCTTAATGGTAGTTCTGTTGAGCCTGCATTTCTCCAGCTTACTTATCAGAATGTCATTTGGGACTCTGTCAAAAGCCTGTCTGAAGTCCAGGTATGTTATATCCACTGCATTTCTCCTATCCACCAAATCAATTATCCTGTCAAAGAAGGAAATCACTGGTTTGGCATGATTTTGTTCTTGATAAATACATGTTGATCCCTTCATCCTCCAGGTATTTGCAAATTGAATGTTTTATACATCGCTGTAGTTAGTAGCTTCCCAGGAATCAAAGTCAGGCTTACTCACTGTAGTTCCCCAGTTCCTCCTTTTTCCCCTTTTTAAAGATGGGCACTATGTTAGCCCTTCTCCAGTCTTCCAGGACTATTATCTTGTCTTTCAAGTTTCTGTGATTCAGGGAAAAATTCAGGCACAATTCCCGTTGACTTCAGTGGAAGTTGTGTATTCATCAGAGACTGAATTACATCTTTAAACCCTGATTCTGCTAGTTATTCCACACAAGTGGACTCCTGCAACACGGCGGAGTAATTTGCAAAATGTTAGTCTGAAGCTCCATTTCTGCATGTGCTCAACTTTACTCTGATGCTCATATGCCTAAACTTTAATATGTGGGTTAATGGAGTCTCATTAATGTGTTTGGAGAAGAATTTTGCCAGAAGGAGCTCAATTTTCAAACCTTAGTGCCTTAAGAAAATTTCCAAATCCCACACTAAAACTGGTACTAGATTTTTAAAGGTATTTAGGCACAGAGTGGTCTTTTCAGAAGCTTCTAGGTACCAAACTCCCATTGAAATCAGTGAGTTTTAGGTGTCTAGGAGCATTTTAAAATCCCACTAAGTGCCTAAATAATATAAAACTGACATTTTGGTGCCTAAGTGGCAATTTGAGCATTTAATGAAGGATTTAAAAATCTTATTGAATCAACATGTTTGAAAATTGAGCCCAAATATTCTCTACCCAATGTCAGTGTGACGCTGGGGCAAGATTATTTTTTTAAACGAGTCTAATCATTATTTCAGCTTCTAAATAAGTGACCTTGCTCTTCAAAAGTGCTGAGGACTTAACAGCTTCCATTACATGCAATGGAAACCAGTGGAGCACTTTTGTCTCTATTTGTGTGATGGGTAACTGTGATAGTAACAAATGGATATGTATGTTAGCTAGATAACAATGGGCAGGTTTCAAGTCAAGAGAACTTTAAAAGAAAAATAATAAAATAATCCAGAAATATGAATGATATCGATAAATCACTTTCTTTTCTTGTTCTGAAGTCGTTTTATGGTTTAGAGAAACTTAATGTGTATTTCAAGCAGTATTAAGCTAAAATCTTCTTATAGCTTGCCAAAGAATTTAGGGAAAAGAGATAATGTTGTCAAGACCTTTAAAGTCTTTCATCAGACATGTAGCATCAGGAACCAAGATTTGTTGTCAGAACTGTTTAAAGAAAATTAGATTTTACTTTTTTCTGTATACGCCGTGGAAACCCCCTTGAGCCTTTTTGTCAGGTGTACTAAGCCTTTAAGGCTAAGCCACTTTAAACTGGAGTATTGTACAGTATGTCTATTCATTTTATTATCTGATTCCAAAACATATCACTTGACAGAAGAAAATTTTGTGTTGCTTTGTCGTCAGTTCAAGTCTCAGTAGCCAGTGTGTATTAAGACACTGACTCAGAAAAGCACTTAAGCACATGGTTAAGTCTAGTTGTCTTTTGTGGGGCTTAGCACGTCTTTAAGCTTTGTTGAATTGGGGCCTAATAAAACATACCACTATTATATGCTGTAGGATTAGAACAGAAGTCAAATCAGCTTTGGCTTGAAAAATGCTTTAAAAAGAGGGAGCTGTTCGGCTCTAGAATGGTTTTATATCCAAAATTGGGAATAATTCGTAGAGCATATACCACAAGGTGTTTTCAAGCTGTATTTTATAAAAGCCAATGGTGGGAATTCTTTGGATTCATTATTGGGCAAAGCTAGAAATTCTAGTTGAAATTCCAGGGTACAATACGAGGTTTTTACAAAGCATATAAAACAACTAAGGCATTCTCCTTCAGGAGAGTCAGTGACACCTATGGCAATACATGTCAGAAGGACAAGGTTCATCAGAACACTAACCTTAACATAGGTATATGAGAGGACTCACCATGGAAATTATCAGTGGTGATTATATACTAATAGGATCTGAATTTTCTATTGAACTGCACTCATAACTTCCACTGACTTCACTGGGCATTTCCACTGCATTCTGTGGCAGAGCCAAAGTCCTTATTAAGTTCTTACTGAGTTCTTACATGACAGCATATCCATTGATGATACTGAGCATTTTGCCTGAATAAGGCATTGAATAATAATTTGAAGTTTTGACCTGTAATTTATTTTTTAAAACTATTTTCCTGAAAGCAAAGGAAGAATCTTGGCATTGTTGTACCTGATTCAATCATTAACTGACCATCCATTTCTAAGGTCTAGGAAATTAATGAAATTGAAATGGTTTTACTCTGAATATAATTTTAAAATCAACTCATTACAAAAGTATCAGAGAATGAACCTGAACTTGAAAATCTTTCTGATAAAGACAGACACAAGTTAGTTTTATTTTACATATTCCAGTGCACTCATCATTTAAATGCTCCAGACTGCTCAGGAAGCAAGACTTGAAAACAAACTGTTTAAGAAAATACAACATTGGAAGGATAATAGTCTGTGAGCTTAAGAACAAAACAATCTTTCCACAGAATATTTTATTTTGGTTCAGTCACTTTTCAGCTAAGGATGTTGATACTGATTTGGCTCAATTATGCCATTAAGATGCAACTCCAAACATCATGCTGCTGGGGCGCTCCTTAAGAGACTAGAATTGACAGCCCATATAGGGATGTGAGTTGGGTGGGCCTCTGAAGTGCCGGACAAGTTCCCTGGCCAGATAGTGTGTAACACCCAGACCATATGGTATTGTGTCCTCCTCTAATGGTGACTGGGCCACATGCACGGGTTGATGAGGCTGCTGTAAGCTCAGTTACTAGAGCTGAGTCTTTCATCTCAGTCAGTAGAGGCTCATGTGTTTGGAATCTAGAAGTCCCTTGTTCAGTCCCCACTGTTGAGGTACCAACCTAGGTTGTAGCGTTACCTGAGTGTGGGAGATAGGATAGTTACCTTTTTTGTCTGCAATCTATGTAGTTTAATAAGTGTAAAATACATTCTTCTCTTCTCTGTGGGTAGAAAGAAAGAGGGGAAATTGATGGCCTACGGGATTCTGTGGCTTGATAAAGGCTGAGATAAAATGTTCTCATTTTTTGTTTTTATCTCAACAGAAAAGCGAATAATCAGTTTAAATGTTCAGACAGTCCCAACATACAAGACAATTTCTAATGTTATTGGTTATTTAAAGGGATCTACATTTCCCGGTAAGTAGACCTCTATGACTACTATTATTATTAATTATGTGTACAACAGTAATCCGAGGGACTGCAATAAAATATCATGTTCCTTTCGTGCTATGTGCTGTACAAATAGTCAATTAAAAAGACTATTCTAGATCCAAAGAGTTTGATTTATGCCAGGAAACAACAGGAGGATTAAACAGAGAATTGGTTAAAAGGCAAGGAGAGATGGTACCAGTACAACGAGCATGTTTTTGCCCAATAAACAATAATTATCTTTATAAACATTCATGATATTACTGTTTTGTCATTTATGTTAAGTAAATGTCTTAGTATTTCAAATTCTAGAAACTACTTTATTGTTTGGCTTGTTCTATGTAAGCAGTCTATCTGACCTTAGCAAAGGCTTAATTCTTCTTAAGTGTGGACTATTGTTACATTATATTTTTAATTATATATTGACTAGAATTGCAGGAAGCAGGTGCAGCACATCACTCAAAATACTGGAAGTCTACCGTTTTTCTTATGTTAGTGGCCAATCCATTTGCAAATTGAATGAATTATTTTTTTAAGAAGTAATTGAATGGAAGAATCTCACTGTGTGTGATTTGGATATGTAGCGGTGAATTGTACTGTGGCTCGATTGTGAACAGATTGCTAATAGAAAATAAGACATACAACAATCGTTAGCCATGTAGTCCAGGACCTAGAACCTACTGTGTTTATAGTGGAGATTAAGGACATGCAAACCTTTGCAGTTTTACCTTTAATAACATTTAAGACCCAGTTCTGCAACCTTTTTTATGGTAAGTAGTAGCCTATTACAATGTGTATTCCCATTGATATCACTCTCGGAATAAGATACTGTTCAACATGAATAAGGGTGGCAGAATCAGGCCCTACTAGCAACTGTGACATCAAAACACACTCAGCTCACAAAATCTCACTCAGCTGTAATACTAGTGGTAAAGAGTGCGATCGTGGAGACATCATATGCACTTTGGTAATACAGAGAATAAATAAATAATAATAGTAATAGGAGGTCATCAAAATCAACATGAGTAGAATCTCCCCATGAGAAATATTTGGCTGAAAGGAGGAAGTGCTATTTCAGCAGGTATTGAAAGCTGTTGTTGTCTGATGGCTGTTTACCAGCATGTGGCAGAGGTGGTCTCAGTCCAATTCCTAATGGACAGATGGAATCATTCCCCAAACCATCATCAGAATTCCCCGGGTTAGCACTCTTGTTGGCAGTCTATGCAGAGAAATTGCTGATTTAACTACTCTGTCACGAGAGGTTGTCCATTAAGGTCAGGTTTGAGGCACTGAGGTGGAGTAATAGGGAAAGCTTTTATCTTGTCTGTCAGTGAAATAATGGCTGCAGCTTTCAGCAAGCTCAATTCAGCACCTTTCACCAGAACTAAGTCCATTTTATAAAGAACTGAGAACAATTACTATCTGAGTATTTAATTTTGGTTAGAGGTTTTATTCCACAAGAAATTTTAATTGATGTTCTCATCTGCTGCATATTTGCAAATGGCTCTCTTGGAAAAATAACTAAACTTGAACAGTAGAAAAGGGCATGTTTAGACAGATTTTTTTCTACCAACTAAAATGCAAATTAGAAATAGGACAACAAATAAGAAAAAAAAGCATGTATTCACCCCTAATATCAACTTTCCAAAGCGCATCTTGTAATACTTGAATCAACTTCAATTTTTTGTATGGTACACATGAAACTTAATGATAATATATGTAGGTACTTAAGCACATCCTAATTTTAAGATCATGTAATCACACTGAAATCAATGGGATTCCTAGTTGGTATTGTAGCTGTGTCCCTCCCTACTTGATATTTTCCTGGCACATTTGTTACTTTGACATTTTGATGTGGTTCTTCTTAGTTTTATGTGCGCACACTATTCTCCCTGGTGCTCCTATGAGTAAAGAGGGCAAGCCAAATTTATCCCTGGTGTAATTACATTGAAGACCAAGGAGTTACATCAGGGATGGATTTTACTCCATAAAGGCTTCCAATTCTCAAGCCATCTGTTTTGATTTTTAGTTTGATAAGTATTATAGACAGAGTTTTAAAAACTCTCCCAGAGCATTTGAAATCCAGCCGTTACGTTAAAGGAATAAGGGAAAGAATAAATGTGTAGCTTATTTGTTAGTCGCTGTGGGGAATTTAAAAAAGTAATCAAATGTATGTGGGCTTTATAGACTGCAAACAGTAAATGGTCTGCCACTGTACAAAAGGGAGGTGTAACTGACCTAGGAAAACACTGTATGAAGTCACCTGTATTTCACCTTTTCTATGCTGACCAGTCCTTGCCTATCCTGCCTAAATCCTAACTCTTCACAGTACTTGGTGGTTCTTCCTACTCCACTCGAGACCCACAGTTCTTATTTCTCTTTCCTCTCATCATGCTCTCTCAGTTTCCTTGCCTACTCCAGCAGGTGATTGGCAAGAGAAGCTGCTGCTGCTGCCTATCCGCTACTCTGCTGTATGGGTGACTGCTATCCCTCAGGTGCTGCTCCTGCAGCCAGCTGCCTCTGGGGGCTTCTGTGCATGTTCAGGTGAGAGGGGTGTGGGCAGGTGAGTCGCTTCAAAAAAGCCATCTGCTGCTGTCCATGCTCCTCTCCATCTGCAGGAACTTCCTGGAGTGAAGATGGCATTTGGCAGCTTTCTCAACCACCTACTGATTCTCTGTCATCTCCTGTGAGATCTCTGTCTATCTTTCTGCTATCCCTTCCTTGCATAGACCAATCAGAGAAGTGGTGAAAGGTAGTCTTTGCATCCCGACTAATCCCTCTGTTATAGCAATGGTTCCTGCAGGCACTTTTGGGTCCCTAAGGAATACAGGAGGTGAAATTTACATCCATGAATGCCCTGTCTCCACTTGAGGGATGATATCCTCTTGCTGGGTTAAAGTGTTAGGTCTTCCCATTGCCATTGCATTATATTAAATACATTTTTCCTGACACAATACAAAAATCTAATTACATTAGTTATATTGCTCATTATAGTCAATTATGTATGCTTAGATTTAATTTTTGCTGACAAGCTGTACAGTTTTGTTTTAATGATTCTGTCAGTACCACCCAGTGAAACTTAGAAATAGTTGCCTTTACAAATAGATTTTCATGTTTATATTTGTTTAAAAACAGAAGCAAACAGCTGTGTGATATGATTAAAAAGTGTTTACGTTACAGATACATTGCAGCAACCTTTCCAGTAAAACATGAAACAGCATTATTGTATTCTACTTAAACAATATCCCTAGACCAAAACTCTGGTAAAAACCCACTTTGGTGGAGAGGAGTTTTATAATTAGAGAGTGCATGTCAAATTCAAAAGAGTTTGTAGGTATTAATCACAGCAAATATCCCCAAGGAATGTGTAGTATTTAATTTCATAGGCAATTTAACGTGTGGACAGTTTACACATATCCTGTTGCACTTCAGCATATTGACAAAAAGAATGGATAAAATAAAGGACTCAAAAAACTCCAACCCCCTTTTGCTCTCTAGAATCAACCTGACACCTAATGTTTTTTAGGATTCTGTTGAAATCTAAACAGTAGACATGACGCAAGAAGTGAAGATCGGGAAAAGGAATAAAAGTACAACAAGGGTCATATCTGATGGATCTGTTTATTTATTAGTATCTAGAGCTGGCCAAAACTCAGAATTTCTATTCCATAGGTAATTCGGACGTTTTGAAATGCCCTTTCTGTCTGACTCAGAACAAAAAGCAAAAATTTCTAAATTTCCTGTAAAACAAAATTTAAAAAAAAAGAATTCAGAAATATTGAAATGACTTTGTCAAAATGTTTCATTTCAATAAGGCTGAAGTGCTTAATTTTGACTATTATCATACAGTCAAAATAATAACATTGATATGGAGTGCTTTCATAATTTTTCATGGAAAATGTAGATGAAATAAATATGTTCTCATGAAACATTTCAGTTTCATCAAATCCACATTTTCCAATGAAAAACTCTTTTGTCATAAAATTTTAAATTAATTCCATTAGAGTTGTTTTAAAAGATTGTCAAGTACATCCAGAGCATTGGATGGATACTCTTCATTGTACGTTAGTATAAATCCAAATAAATAACTAAATAATATCACAGGTTTCTCATTTAAAGCATGTGAACATCTTGATTTGGTTTCTGTATTGGACCATGTGTACTTATATTAGGATGGTGTAGGTAAAGTAGAGAGAGATTTATATTATCTTTTTTATGATCATGCAAGCTTGATTATCTGTATCAGTGACACCGTCAAGTATGGGCACAATATGTCCTTTATTTTTGGAATTATTTTTCTGTTAAAGTCTAACTGAAATAAATGTTTTGTTGGTGTTGTTTTTCTTTTCAGATAGATATGTCATAGTTGGTAGCCACCACAACAGTGTATATGGTTACAGTGGACAAGAATGGGCCAGTAGCACTGCTGTCATCACAGCATTTATACAAGCCTTGATGCTAAAAGTTGAGAGAGGCTGGAGGCCTGATCGGACCATTGTTTTCTGCTCATGGGGAGGAACATCATTTGGCAACATTGGCTCATATGAATGGGCAGAGGTAAACATTTGATGATGCAGCTATGGAAACTGTGAAAAGCAGACACCATAGTATGGCTATATGTGGAAGCCACAGCTCTTTTAAAAACTATTACTTAACTGGGATAAAAAGTCCAAACAACTTGGCAGGGTTGCTTCTGTGCAGAACTCAACTGGCACCAATAGCCCGGGTGGACTATAAGCCTGACATTGAGCATGGAGGCCATGCCTGTTCTACACCTCAGGCCTGCCCGGGGACCTTGACTGGAAACCAAGGTTCCAAACTGTTCCCCTCCTGCATGCTGGAGGGGGGAGCTGCATGCTGCATGAGACCCATGTAAACAAATTGCCCCACTATGCAGTGCCGTACTCATGTCAGTGTCTATCCAGCCTACTGAGTTACATGGACCTCAAATTGGACCCTTTTAACTCATGATCCCATTGGAACCATAAAAGATGCTTCTGGCTGAGATTTTTCCTCCCTCTCTCTCCTAGCCCCATCAAAGCTGCACCCTGGGTAGCTAGTAAGATGACATTTGTTTTACTGTGGAAAACGATTAGGAGAATTATATTTTTACTGGAAAAAGAAAAGACTACTGATAGGGCATTTAGCTAATTGCATAAATACTCAACATCAAAATAAGATGATCTTGGGATAAATGACTGACATATTGTGACTATGATTGGGGAGGTTTGAATAGTAGGAAATAAAAAGGGACCTGAACCTTCACGCCAAATTAAAGCTGAAACCAAATAAGATATAGAGAATAGTTTTATTAATTTAAAATATAAATGTGTATTTCATGCCTGTATATCTGTTCTCTGTGTGTGTGTGTGTGTGTGTGTTTAATTCAGCAGCCAGGAATATCTCTATGGGCTTCTCCTTTTTAATCAATCAAGTGAAATCCATTGGAATCTTATTTAAACTGGATAGCATTGTTTGATAAGTTATCTTCATCAAGTTGATTTGCCATTCTGTTGAACCTAAGAGCCCAAGGAATTGTGTGTGTCAGATTGAATCTAACTTTTAAACACAAATGGGTGATAATTGAAAGAGCTACTAACTATGGGGACACTAAAATGTGTATGTGATTAATGGCTTTTCTGTATGGAAACTACCAGTGCTCTCCGATCCTTCATCCAACTCCCTCTTGAGTACTCTTTCTCTGTGCAAAGCCTGGAGTTAGAGAGAGAGAGAGAGAGAGAGTGTGTGTGATTATATATATATATAATACACACACACACACACACACACATGCAATTCCATCCAGAAGTAGATCTGGAAGTGGTAAAAATAGCTCAAGAATGGCTTTTTAGAAACAGAAATTACTGTGGGTTTTGTGAAGAGAGCCTATGCTTGAGAAATTTCCATCCCAGTTTTTCAGACTTAGAGGCTTCACCTATGTTTTACATATCTGAGCCTGTTTAGAGTTTCCCATTACAACTTACTATTAATCACAACAATCTGTGGCCATATACTATGGTAATCACTATGACAAACAGTCTGGTCATTGGATAATTGCATATTATCTGTTAAGGACCCAAATGCATAACAGCTCGGTCTTCCGGCTGTCCATTAGTTCCCATGACTGGTTGTGGTTGGTCCAGAATCTTTGAGTCATCATCTTCTTGTTCTGCATCTGCCACTTGTACTTGTTCTGTTGATTGTTCTCTCTGAGGAACAAACTGTAGATGTCAACAGTTTCTGTTGAACTCTCCACTGTCAGCCTTGACCACATATGAACTGAGTGCTGAATTCCTTTTCTTTACAACAGCTGAGGTTGTCCATTCCTTTTTTCCATCCAGTTTGACATGAATGCAGTCACAAAGTTCTTAACTGGCAGTTCTCTAACTGATTGACATCTGTTGTAAAAATGTTTAGCTTTTTTAACCGATTTGGCTACTCTCTTCATGTTGGCCACTTTGGAGATAGATTCTTTTCCAAAGCTGGAACAGTAGTTCTGAGTTGTTATCCCATCAGGAGTTGTGTTGGACTACATCCAGTAACTTCTTTAGTGTTGTTGTGTAACTCAGAAGGGCAAGGAATGGATCTTCCTGTTGTAAGATTTTCTTTGCTATCTGTACAGCTCCGTCAGCCTCTCCATTTACTTGTGGGTAATGTGGGCTGCTAGTAATATGATCAAAATCATATTTCATTCAGAATGAGTTAAATTCTGCTGCAGTGAATTGTGGTCCTTTGACCGTCACTGATGTGAGCAAAAAAGCTTACTTCAGTTTCTTGATAACACTGCAACATGTTACATCTTTCAAGTACATTATTCCTATATACATGGGGAAAAAGTCCACAATGACCAGGTAATGATGTTCTCTGAATTCACATAAATCTGCCACTACTCTCTTCCAAGGTCTGTGTGGTTGAGGTGTTATTAAAGTTTCTGTTGGTCTGACCGTTCTGCAGTGTTCAGATGCAGATACTTTATGTTTTAAATCATTGAGGATGCCTGGCCACTACACTGACTGGTTGGCCCATTCATGGAATTTAGTGCATCTTTGATGTCCTTCATGGGGATGAGATTTAGGATTTCTCCTCTCATTTCATTTGGAATTATGATGCAATTGCCTTTAATCATAAGTCCATTTGACTTTCTTAGTTGACTAGGCACTGCAAAGCAGTCTCCTGTCACTTCACATACTGGGCTAGCCACCCCAATGTAACTTAGAACTTCCTGAAGTTGCATGTCTGTCAGGGTTGCTTTTTGTAGCTGGTATAGTCTCTTTTCTGACACTGGTCTGTAAGTATCAACAATATCAACATATGCCTTTATGTTGTCTTTGAGCTCACAGGTAGTTGAGTGCAATGCTGGGCTCTATGACAGAATGCCTGTTACTATCAGATTTTTCCCAAGTACATCTCTAGCAATTGAGTTCGATCACATTAATCTTAGTAATAGATGTTGGCATCTCAGCGGTGCTTGATCAGCCGTGACAGAAGGCCATCCCGACTATATGTAAATAATTATGGCGTTAACTGCACAATACACTTTTATCTGCTGGGTATTCCCTGACATTTAGAAATAAAGTTGCAGACTAAGTAAACCACATTCAGGGTCTCCTGTCCTCCTTCTGGTGTAGCCAAACATTGAGGGAAGGAAGTTTCCATACATACAAGTCATTAATCACATATATGTTTTGGAGTCCCCATGAATAATAGTTATTTCAGTTATCACCCAGGTGTGTTTAAAAGTTGGATTCAATTTGACAAGCACAACTCCTGAGCTGTTAGCTTCAACAGAATGGTAAATCAACAGCAACTCTATGAAAATAACTTATCAGACATGCTATCCAGCTTAAATAAGGTTCCAATGGATTTCAGTTGATCAATTGAAAAGAAGAAGCCTGCCGCGAAGTTCCTGGCTGCTGAATTAGAATAATAGATAAATAAAGGTTTAATCGCTTATCATTTTTGGAAGCAGCTAGCACTTATCAAAACCTCATCCTTCCAACATGATTATTCTTCAAAAACAAGAGGGGAGAAAAAAAATCAAGTTGAAAGAATCCATGTGACTGAGAGGAAGCAAAATTTGTTTAGTTCCACTTCAAGTCAGCTTTACAACAGATGTAATGGGGCTGCCCCCCTTCTGCTCAATATAAAAAGCCACTTCATGCAAAGAGCAGCTCATTACTGAGAAAGCAAAGAGGATCTTTTAAAAAAAAATAATTGAAGTGGTTCAAATATACTACTTCCCTTGTTTAAAATGTAATCAAATGACAACACTGGATAAATTATGCAATTCAAATCTGAATTTGGGCTCCTGGTCTGAAAATTCAAGTGCATTTAACTGTTTGATAATGATTACTTTTGAAGTTTGGCTTCTGTCAGGCGCAAGTTTAAAAGCCCTTCTTGTTGTTTCACAGTAAGTAATGTTTTCACTCTCGGCTTTGCAGCTATAGTCATTCTTAATTCCTCCAGGGCCTGTTTGCATTTTGTTCAGATGATGTGCGAAATGGAATTATAACTTTTGATACAGAGAAATAAAACTCAAATATCCTTTGAAGTTTTAAAAATGATGATATAGGAAAATGAAGTTAAATAATACTTAGGGAATTGTAGTGGAGGAAAAACATAGGGTGTATTTTTTCCCTTAAAGGAACTAAAGTAAGAAAACAAGCCTTAATTATAATCAGACATATTAATAACATTGCTGTGCTTGTGTTGTAGGATCTCAAGAAAGTTCTCCAGAGAAATGTTGTGGCTTATGTTAGCCTCCATAACCCAGTAAGAGGCAACTCAAGCTTGCATCCTGTAGCATCGCCTTCTCTTCAGCAACTGGCAACAGAGGTTAGAGATATGAGATTTCCCTTACAGCTCAACTTCTCAGATGATACAATTCTTCCATTTATGTTGGTTGCTTTTACTTAATTTCACAATGAGATCCTTCTGAGTGAATACTGACAAATAGAGTCCTAGAGTTTAAGGCCAGAGGGACCACCAGACCATCTAGTCTGACCTCGTGTGTATCAGAAGCCAACAATACCACCCTCAACAACCGAAATTAGACCAAAGTCTTACAGCCCACTGGCAACTTGACTATTATGTGCTACATAAAGAAAACATCTTCATTGTAGCCTTTGTTATTCAGTGGCTGTTTTCAATCAAGTAAACACACTAACAAGACTTAAATACTTACCATACAAATTAAACAGTGGGCAGAAAGGATAACCTACATTTCTGTACTAGCTCCATGGAAAGCCCTCAAGAGTTCATTATACTAAGTTTCACTACACTTGCATGCCCTTCAGCTTTTCCACTTCTTGGCACTTTAAAGTAATTTATTTCCTATTCATTAGCACAATTCACATTTTCCTCTTCCTTTTATGATCTTTAAAAGCTGTTTATCAAATGACATTTAAACTTGTAAATTTACCAGCGGTAACATTTTGCACAGAGGGGAAACAATTACTGCTCCTATAATCAGCAGTGTGTAAAGTGTATAGGTCAAATTCTGAACTCTGTTACACCATTGTAGCTAGGAAGAAGTCAGTGGAGTTATTCCACAGTTACCCTGGTGTAACGGAGTTCAGAAAGTGGTCTAATGACCTTTCTATAATTTCTCAAAGGTTACAGAATTCAATATAATTGGAAATGAAATGGAAATATTTTGAGGAATGTGTTCATTACAATACACAGTAAAATCCCTATTGAATGAAAACCCTACTAGAGTGGGGCAAATTTTTCATGCAAATAGATTTTTGGTTAAAAATGTGGATTTGGGTTGATTTTGGTGAATGGTGTTCATTTAAAAAAAAATAGGAAATGCTGAAATGGTTCATTTTAGCATTTCCAAAACTAACTACTTAAAATGTTTTAAACACCTCCCCCCAATGGAAATAAGACATTTTGTTTCAGCAAGAAATTAAAACAAAATTTGTCAGATACAAAACAAAATTTCTTTTCAATATTCTTAGTTCAGCCACCAAACTGAAAAATCACTCTTACACCCAGCTCTAGATCCTGCATTTTAGTTGCTTTTCCCAGGATATATTTCAGACTGAATAGATTAATGGGAATACGTAGACTTTGCCACCCATATTCCTACCAGTTCTCAGCTGGTACCTTATTCTTTTTTCCCATTATCTTGATTTATTGTTATATAAGAGAATCAGAAGCTGCAGATTGACTGAAGCAGTGGCATCATATCTGGGAACACTGCCTTCTCGTACTTATGGGGATGATATTAAGACATGGTATCTTTTGTCACTTCCCAGGAGTTGAGCAGTAAGGGTGGACATTCTGAAGGTAACCAAGCCACCCATGTATTTCAGTGCCCAATTTTTTCAGTTTTGCATACTCATGTGTGGGAAAGAACTAAGGAAGGAACTCTTTTCAGAGTAACAGCCGTGTTAGTCTGTATTCGCAAAAAGAAAAGGAGGACTTGTGGCACCTGAGAGACTAACCAATTTATTTGAGCATAGGCTTTCGTGAGCTAGAGCCTCCGATGAAGTGAGCTGTAGCTCACAAAAGCCTATGCTCAAATGAATTGGTTAGTCTCTAAGGTGCCACAAGTCCTCCTTTTCTTTTTAAGGAAGGAACTCTGATAGTCAATTACTTGTTTATTCCTACTGTAAACAGAGAGTCAACTTTCTGTAGCCAAGCACAGTTCTATGCTGAAGGCATAAGATGCTATTATCAGTGAAAGGCGAACCAGTTAATCTAAGGGTGTTTCTAGGCTTTAACCTCAGGGTGTGATTCCTAGCTCAAGGAGACCTACATGCATAGAATGTAGCTGCTACACCACAAGTGGCAGGAGGAGCTAGCTATCCCCATTATTTACCTGTCTGAGACCCTAGGCACATAACTGGGCTGGATAGCCCAGCCTGCTGGTCACGCTGCCACAGCTATACTCTATTATTAGCACACTAGCTCAATGAGAGGTAGCGTAGTGTGAGTATGTCTCATCGATCTGGGAATCACACCCCCAGGTCAAAGGGTAACACACCTGCTAATAAGAATGGACCTGAGTCTGACTGAAAAGTTTGATTAATTTAGCTTTCCTGGGCACCTTCTACTTCTGGATGCCAGCTTACATCAGAAGCAAAAATTCTGGAACAGAGCAAAGAAAGATATTCTTTTGTCCAGGGTTTGTGGATTCCAGGCAGGTCTGACTGATTACTGACATATAAGATGACTCTTCCCCCACCTCAGGAAAAAAGGGAGCCTTTTTCAGCTGAACATTGTATACAGAATCATAGGGATGATTACAAGTGTTCCTGGGACCTATCAAGGATTATTTTGTTATAAAGGTTTAAAGAGATGTTTAAAAAAAAAATACAAGTGATGCCATGTTAATAGACTCCAAATTCTCCATAGTGAGATTTGCAATCTTGCTTCCGTGGAAACTGGATCTAGCTCCTCTCAGAAAGTTTTCAGTTTTAAATCATATATTTCAGGCATTAAGTTCAAGAGGCATTCTGTGTTTCTGATAAACACTGTTTGTTTTGTTACTTTGTCTTCCTACCCTACCCCATTCTGATTGTCTGTCTGTTTTCTCCCCCTGTTTTAGCTTGTCTAATGCCTAGGTGGTAAGCTCTCTGAGGCAGGGACTGCCTTCTTTGTTACTTGCCAGCATAACAGGGCCCTTATTCTTGATGGGGGTCCTAGGTGCAATTGTAATATAGATAATAATAGTAGAAACAAAATGCTACCCTCTGCTGGAAGGCAAATTAAGTCTCTCTCTCCTCTTTTCCCACTCTGCCCCAAGCACCAGCATACTCTTGGAAATATTGGAGGTCAGTCCTCAGTCCCCTATAATCATAGAATCATAGAATCATAGAATATAAGGGTTGGAAGGGACCCCAGAAGGTCATCTAGTCCAACCCCCTGCTCAAAGCAGGACCAATTCCCAGTTAAATCATCCCAGCCAGGGCTTTGTCAAGCCTGACCTTAAAAACCTCTAAGGAAGGAGATTCTACCACCTCCCTAGGTAACGCATTCCAGTGTTTCACTACCCTCTTAGTGAAAAAGTTTTTCCTAATATCCAATCTAAACCTCCCCCACTGTAACTTGAGACCATTACTCCTCGTTCTGTCATCTGATACCATTGAGAACAGTCTAGAGCCATCCTCTTTGGAACCCCCTTTCAGGTAGTTGAAAACAGCTATCAAATCCCCCCTCATTCTTCTCTTCTGCAGGCTAAACAATCCCAGCTCCCTCAGCCTCTCCTCATAACTCATATGTTCCAGACCCCTAATCATTTTTGTTGCCCTTCGCTGGACTCTCTCCAATTTATCCACATCCTTCTTGAAGTGTGGGGCCCAAAACTGGACACAGTACTCCAGATGAGGCCTCACCAATGTCGAATAGAGGGGAACGATCACGTCCCTCGATCTGCTCGCTATGCCCTTACTTATACATCCCAAAATGCCATTGGCCTTCTTGGCAACAAGGGCACACTGCTGACTCATATCCAGCTTCTCGTCCACTGTCACCCCTAGGTCCTTTTCCGCAGAACTGCTGCCTAGCCATTCGGTCCCTAGTCTGTAGCTGTGCATTGGGTTCTTCCGTCCTAAGTGCAGGACCCTGCACTTATCCTTATTGAACCTCATCAGATTTCTTTTGGCCCAATCCTCCAATTTGTCTAGGTCCTTCTGTATCCTATCCCTCCCCTCCAGCGTATCTACCACTCCTCCCAGTTTAGTATCATCCGCAAATTTGCTGAGAGGCAATCCACACCATCCTCCAGATCATTTATGAAGATATTGAACAAAACCGGCCCCAGGACCGACCCTTGGGGCACACCACTTGATACCGGCTGCCAACTAGACATGGGCCTTGATCACTACCCGTTGAGCCCGACAATCTAGCCAGCTTTCTACCCACCTTGTAGTGCATTCATCCAGCCCATACTTCCTTAACTTGCTGACAAGAATACTGTGGGAGACCGTGTCAAGCTTTGCTAAAGTCAAGAAACAATACATCCACTGCTTTCCCTTCATCCACAGAACCAGTAATCTCATCATAGAAGGCGATTAGATTAGTCAGGCATGACCTTCCCTTGGTGAATCCATGCTGCTGTTCCTGATCACTTTCCTCTCTGTAAGTGCTTCAGGATTGATCTTTGAGGACCTGCTCCATGATTTTCCAGGGACTGAGTGGGCTGACTGGCCTGTAGTTCCCAGGATCCTCCTTCTTCCCTTTTTTAAAGATTGGCACTTAATCATGTCTATGGTAGCAGTAGGTGCATTACATAGAACTTTTTTCCCAGCCTCTCTCATCATTCATGTAGCTAAGGAATCCTGAGCAAGGCTAGATCATCATCACTCTTTCCTTCCAGGAGCCAGCTTTTTCTCACCCAACATGCTTTCTTATAGCAAGGGCAATATTTAACAGTTATAGATTTCTGCATTCTTCTCTGACACACAAAAATGTTAAAAAAACAAGACAATAAAGGGAACCTGTATTTTTTGTACAGTGATATCATTTTTAATTAACATAGATGCCATACTGGTGGTGACATTTAAAAAAAGTGATATGAAGTCCTGCTTCCAAACACTAGCCAGAATTGTTAGTTCATGTCAAGTATATCCTGAAGGATGGAAAAGCCAGACAGATCTTTCGTCTGTTCCCATGGGTGCTCTCAATTTGCCATCTGCTTAGGATACTTCCATGGTACTCACTTTAAAGAGAAGAATGATCCTCTTATAAAGAATATTAATATTGCTTCCCGTAGTTGCTGAAAAGGCCAGATATTTATAGGTACATCAGCTTAAAGGGAATGAGTTCTGTTTTTCTGGAAATTGTCTCCCTCTTGCAGAAATTGTCAATTCATTTCATATTAGATT